GCCTGCCTCTGCCTCCCGAGTGCTGGGATTAAAGGCGTGCGCCACCACCGCCCGGCTTCTTTTCTTTTTTTTTCTAAAGCCAGTATATATCTGAGTGGAGACCCGCCCTTCTCCTCAGATTTTATTGACTTCATGTGAGCATTTACAAAGATGACATACTAGTGTTTTAAGAACATTGACCTCTGAACTCAACATCATACTCAAATAATGAAGAAGAGAGTGGACACCCCCTCTAGCATGTCTTTCTGTTTGAAATCTATTTAAATGTATGTGTGTGTATATACAAAATATAATTTGTCCAAAGTTCACTTTCATTCTTTGCTGACTTTTAGTTCAAATTTCAGTTGCCTTTCTACAAACTTAGCATTTATAAATTATACACATGTGTATATATATGAATATAAAATATGAATATGACATAATACTTTTCTTTATTTATTTTTATATTTTACAGCATTGCCCTGGGGATTGAACCCAGGTGTCACACATGCCAGTAAAGCTCTCTACCACCAACACAGTTCAGAATTCTTAAACTCTTTATCATCAAGATGTTCTTGATCAAGTGACTGGTGGTCAGAGTGAGAACACTGGGCACCTTGTGATGAAATTTTTGCCTTTCTGATAGTGTTTTTTTTTTTTATTTTAGAAATCAATAATGTTTATCTTTCCTTCCATTGCTTCTTTGGAGTTCAAGATCAGCCAAAGATAGATATTACAGATCAAGGAGACAGGGTCTCAGTCATTAAACCCCTTCAAGGCAAGGACCATATTAGACATTTATAAATCTGCATCCCCAAATCTAGGAGCTGGCCATGAACAGATATTTAGTACATGTTTATTACGTAGACGAGACATCTGAAAAACAATCAAAAGCCTCTGAGACAGCATTGGGACTCTGTCCACAGCAATGGAGCCTTCAGTAGGTTGACCGATCTTTGTCATTTGTAAGATGAGGCCTTTGGCTTCCTTTAAAGGACTAAGGGGAATCTGAGAGTCCCAGGAAGCAAGGCCTTTGAGAATAATTATTGTAGACAGAATAAATCTCTGCTCCTTAAATAAATAACTCTCCAACGGATGGGGTTCCTGTGAATAATCAAAGCAAAGAGGCTCTTGGTGACTCACTTGTGGGTCAGCATTTTTAATTAGTAAGCAGTTACTTGACAAATTCTTACAACCCTCAATTACAATCCCCCCTGCTCCACATTCCAGTGCGGTCATATTCACTGGTGCAATGAAATTGTCAACTTGAAGATAGGTTGAGAAATGGCTTCTTAAAATTCAGGTTCATAAATCTTAACAGGAAGAGCCTGGAGCCAAGCAAGACAGAAGTGTTGTGAAATCAGTTAAATTAGGTTTCTGGAATATGTGAGCTGTCTACCACTCTCATTAACATGAGGTAGCAACACCCAGATGGAGTATCCACTAAGGTTAGTGCAGGAGAGAAGTTTCACTGATTCACTGTTGGGTGCTGGATGGCATAGCAAAGCTATCGCCCTTGTCTGTGAAAGAAGCCGGCGACTTAATGTGGCCTGACCAAGAGAGTCATCGCAGAGGTACAAAGGACCAGTCGTGTTCTAAGAGTTCACAAGCATGATCAGACATCAGAATCGCCTGGAAGGCGTAGTACAATTTGAGTGTTATCCCCACAGTCTCTGATTACTTACAAGGCAGGCTGGATACTAAGAAATGGCCACTAGAACAAGATCCCCTTTGCTGGTGAGATGGCCCAGGGGATGAAAGTGCTTATTGCATAAGCCTGGGGACCTGAATTTGATGAAACCCACAGTGGAAGGAAAGAATCAACTTCTGAAAGTTGTCCTCTGATCTCCACATGCATATCCCTGTGCCCCAACATGAGTGTGTATATGTGCATACACGTACATGCATACATACACACACACACACACACACACACACACACAGTACTGATAATAAAAATAAAATTTCAATAAAAGAACAAGCTTCCTGGAGATGCTAAACCATGAATAGGGTCACTCATTGAGAGCATAGTGCTCCTTGATTTTTCTTCAGATGCCGATGCTGGAGGCTGCTTACCACACAAGTGTGAGGACCTGAGTTAAGATACCCAGCACCTATGTGAAAAACTGATAGTCTATGCCCGGGAGAGGGGGAGACAAGTGGATTGCTAGAGCTCAATGGCTATATACCCTAGAAGAATCAGTGACATGTAGGCTCAGGAAAAGACTCTGCCTCAAAACACAGAGAACGCTGACAAAGACAATCAGCATTGAATTTCATCCTCCACGTGGATGGATACACATGTACATTCACAACCACACACGTACATATTCGCATCCACATGAACACATATCACACACACACACACACACATTCATACACTCATGCATGCATGCCAATGATACTAAGTGCAATGTCCCATAAGCTGTGATTTTTTTTCCTGAGGTGACTTTATTTTTTTTCTAAATAAAGCTTTCAGCTTCTTCTGACTTTGTAGAACTCATTAATGTGGTCTGTTCCAAACTCATTCTTTTGTTTGTCTGTCTGTCTTTTGTATGTTATTTTGTGAGACAGGGCCTCATTTTGAACTTAAACTGTCGTGGAACTCACTACACAGTTTGAGATGACCTCAGACGCATGATCGTGCCTCATTCTTACAGTGCTGGGATTCCACGAGTCAGCCAGCACATCTTGTCCAAACTCGTCCTTGACTCAACTGAAAATTGGCACCAGCAGCCAGAATCCTTTTTCTTTCTTTCTCTTTCTTTCTTTCTTTCTTTCTTTCTTTCTTTCTTTCTTTCTTCTTTCTTTCTTTCTTTCTTTCTTTCTTTCTTTCTTTCTTTCTTTCTTTCTTTCTCTTTCTTCCTTCCTTCCTTCCTTCCTTCCTTCCTTCCTTCCTTTCTTTCCCTTTCTTTCTTCCTTCCTTCCTTCCTTTCCTTTTCTTTCTTCCTTCCTTCCTTCCTTCCTTTCCTTTTCTTTCCCTTTCTTTCTTTCTTCCTTCCTTCCTTCCTTCCTTTCCTTTTCTCTCTCTCTCTCTCTCTCTCTCTCTCTCTCTCTCTCTCTTTCTTACCATTTTTTGATTTTCATGTTGCGATGGTTTCTCTTTATTGAAAATGGTTTTTCATACACTTTATACTGATTATGACTTCCCCTCCCTCTTCTTCCAGATTGTTCTCATCTGCTCATCTCCATACATTTTTTCTCTTTAGAAAAAAAGAGGGGGGGGGGAGGCTGGAGAGATGGCTCAGTGGTTAAGAGCACTGATTGTTCTTCCAGAGGTCCTGAGTTCAATTCCCAGCAACCACATGGTGGCTCACAACCACCTGTAATAAAATCTGGTGCCAACTTCTGGCCTGCAGGGACACAGGAAGGTAGAACATTGTATACATAATAAATAAATATTTAAAAAAAAGAAAAAGAAAAAAGAGGGAAGTTTGAAAAAGAAAATCAAAGAAAAAGTACAAGAAGCATATACACATATACATAAAATACATAAAAACACACAACCAGAAACCATAATATAGGAGCAAAAGACCAATAAGGTAAAAAAAATTCCCAGACAAAGCATTATGAGACAAAAAGAAATCTCTGAAAACAGTATCATTGAGTTTGAGTTGACTTTCTACTGCTGGGCATGGGGCCTGCTCTTAAGTGTGGTTTGTATACCCAGTGAGATGCTATTGGAGAAAATGAGTTTTTCCTTTGTGAGTGGTGAATTAGAGGTAGCTCCTGGGTTAGGGCTGGAAGATATGTCCACTTCCCCGTCTCAGTGATGGGAGCCCAGCCTGGCCTTGTAAAGGCCCTGTGTGTGTGCAACCAGTCTCTGGGAGTTCAAATGTGCATCAGTACTGTTGTCTCTAGAAGACATTTCTTCCTCATTGTTTTCCAGCATCACAGACTCTCACAATCGTCCTTCTGCATTTTACAAATGGTCTTGAGTCATGAGTAGAGGGGTTTGATGGATACATCCCATTTAGCACTGAGTGTTACAAAGTCTCACCACCTCTGTACGGTGACTGGTTGTGGACCTCAGTATTTGTTTCCTGCGACCATAGGAGGAAGCTTTTCTGGTGATGGCTGTGTAAGACCCAGATGAGCAGCTATAATAGGACATTGTTAAGAGTCGTTGTATTCCTACATGTTTTAG